TAGAAAGAACCAAGAGTACATTGTAATAGCTAAGATAAAGTAACTCTAAATCTTTGTGCCTACAAGTACACAAACCTCTGTAGTTATTTCAAAATCATATTACCAATTGTACATGTATAATCCATATCAGATTGCTTGCTGTCTTAGGGGGTGGGGAGGAGAGGGAGGGAGGAATTTGTAATTGGAAAAAATAAAATACTAGTAAGTCAGAAAAAACTAAACTTATAAAGAAAAAAATCATAGTACCCTGTGAACATTACAGAGACACTATGGTGTAGAAAGAACAGCCAGTGGGATTGAAATAGAGGCCAAATCAAGCTGTGTTGATGTAGGCTGGTCTCTGCCCATGTCTGAGCTGCAGTTTCCTTATCCTCATTCCTCCTTATAGGCAGCTAGGTGACAAAAGTCTTTAGAGCACTGGGCCTTAGTCAAGAAGACCCGAGTTCAAATCTGGCCTCAGACATTTACTAACTGTGTGATCCTGGGCAAGCCACTCAACTGCCATCTGCCTCACTTTCTTCATCTGAAAACGAGGACAATAAAAGCACCCCACATTCCAGGGTTGTTGTGAGGGTCAAGTGAGTTAATATTTATAAAGCTCTTAGCACAGTGCCTGGCTCTACAGAAATGATTGTTACCTTCCCTCTGTAAAACAGAGATTGGACTAGATGATCTCGGATGTTCACAGCTAATATTTAATGAAAACTGGCAGAGACATGCTGGGCACATTGATTCTGTGCACAGAACACACAAAAATAAAGTTCTGAGAGTTTTACTCAATAGCCCTATGAGGTAGAAACTTTATTTGGCCTGTATGAAACTAATAGGCCCCCTATATAATAAATATTCATTCAATATTTTACAAATACATTTTTATTGGTAACCTATTTTACAAAAGAGGCAATATTTGTAAAGTGCTTGGCATAGTGCCTGGCACACAGTAGGCATTTGATAAATGTTTATTCCATTCCCCTACATTACCCGTATATCCCAATGTATCCCCTGATCCCAGAGTTATCCCTTATAGCAAAGAACAAAAAATGCCTGGCAGTGGGATCTCTGGGTCAAAGAGTGTGGACGTTTTAGTCACGGAGTCACTTTATTTGCTTTTCAGAATGGCTGGCCCAATTCACAACTTTACCAACTATTTAAATTTTAAATACCATGGTTTTATTTGCCTCCTTTGGATTTAGAAACATTTTTGGGGGGTTAGGGGGCATTATTTGGACGGCCAAAAAGACAGTGCAATGTGAAGGATTGAGATTGACCTGGATTAAAGCCTCACATCTAACACGTCAAGGCTTTCTCTGACCCTGGGCAACTTTAATTAATCTCCCAGTGTCCCAGTCTACTTACTCTCTAAGTCTACAAAGGTAAGACAGTTATTGATTTGCCATTAGCGGAAGGAAGAAGTCCACAGATCTGCCTCTCTCCCCAGGTCAGAAAATCTCTCCAGGAAAGCTTGAATCTGTGCTCTTTCTTCTGTGTTAAGCAGAGGTCTTCAAAAGTATTGTATGAAGCTGGCCTCAGAGTTGGAATGATTCTTTTGAAAAGCAGTTGTTAAAGACTCTATTAGAGGAGAGTGCTCAAGACTAGTGGGGATCCTTTGGAGAGCAGGAAGGGCTCTCTTGAATCTGATACGTCTGTTTGCCTTCTTGATATTTTCCTCCTCTTATTTAAGGCAGCATGAGAGGGTTGGGTGCAGGGGGACAGAGAAGAAAGAGGGTTTGGGAGGGAGTGATGCTTGTTTTACTTACCTAATTATGGCACAGTTGTTTTATGGGCTGCTTGTATTGTCAGCGGCTTCTGGACCTTGAAATAACACCTTCCGAGGCTACCTAGAATCTCTCTCCTCCTACCTACTTCCTCTCCTGCTGCCTGCTTGAGCCACTGCCCAGTGCCACACCTTACGCTCCTAAAGCCTTTGAATAAGCAGATGAGGGCATGAGCAGGGAAAGGTGGTGATAATGTTCATTAGTAAGACACCTACAATGTGTATTTCTTGGAATTTCATGTTAGACCATTTAATCTGCTGCTTTTGCTTTGTTAGATCTATTTATCAGATGCTTAATGTTCAAATAAATTTGTCCTTCCAGAGTGTTTCCTTAGCATATATGTGTTTGTACATGAACATACATGTATACACATATGTGTAAAGTGTGTGTGCATGTGTGTATGTGTGTGTGTGTACACCAAAAGAAGGGTACAGATAATAAGTACTACAGGAATTTAGTAGGGGAAAGGAAAATATACTGGATTGATAAGCAATTTATCCAGCCAGCGGCCCAAGTTTATATTTTAAATCCTCAAAGAAAAAGTTTGTAGACCTTCTATCCAGCCTTTTTCTCCTCACCTCCCTCATACCAATTAACAGTCTTTCCACACAAGCACTGAGCCCCGCAAAATTAGACCGCTCCTTTTGATGCACCCCAAACACTGTGAGGCTATTGGGGTTCTATCCATGCCTGTAGGCCCAGTGTTTTAGTGATGTTTAAACTTCCTAACCTATCCTAAATCAGTGGCTGCTGTCATTCTAGGAGCTAGGTGGTACAGTGGATAGAATGCAGGGCCTGGAGTCTGGAAGTCCTGAGTTCAGTTGCAGCTTCAGACACATACTAGCTCTGTGACCCTAGGCAAGTCACTTAACTCCTATTTGCCTCAATTCCTCATCTGTAAAATAGAGACATGCTGGAGAAGAAAATGACTAACCATTTTAGTATCTTTGCCAAGAAAATCCCATGGACCAAGTCCATGGAGTCATGTAGAGCTAGACAGGTCTGAACAACAATAACGGTGACTGCTTTTATGCTTTATGGCACAGTTGTTTTATGGGCTGCTTGTATTGTCAGCGGCTTCTGGACCTTGAAATAACACCTTCCAAGGCTACCTAGAATCTCTCTCCTCCTACCTACTTCCCCTCCTGCTGCCTGCTTGAGCCACTGCCCAGTGCCACACCTTACGCTCCTGAAGCCTTTGAATAAGCTCCTCCTTTTAGCTCTTGCTAGGTGGCACAGTGGAGTGCCAGGTCTGGAGTCAGGAAGACTCATCTTTCTGAGTTTGGATCTAGCCTCAGACATTTACTAGCTGCATGACCCTAGGCAAGTCACTTAACCCTGTTTGCCTCAGTTTCCTCATCTGTAAAATGAGCTGGAGAAGGAAATGACAAGCCATTCCAGAATCTTTGTCAAGAAAACCCCAAATGGGATCATGAAGACACGACTGAAAAACAACTTAACAACAACAGTTGTATAGTTTCTGGGGTCTGCCTATAGACAATACACACAATACAGGTCCTGGGTTAAATGAGTTATGGGGAGGTTTCTAATACACTTAGCAGTCTTCTTTTCCCACCTCTAGATAATTGACTTTTAGAAGCTATAGAATAGTGATGTCAAACTCAAATAGAAGTGAAAGCCACCATCAGGGATGGGGAACCTTTGGTCTCCGGTCACATGTAGCCCTCTAGGTCCCCCAGTGTGGCCCTTTGACTAAATCCAAACTTCACAGAACAAATCCCCTTAATAAAAGGATTTGTTTCATAAAACTTGGACCCAGTTAAAAGTCTGCACTCAAGGACCTAGAAGGCCACAGGTTCCCCACCCCTGCACCAACCATAGGTAAGGAATCCCCTTAGAAAACCACATATTAACATAGTCTATATTTTATTGCATTTTTATTTACTTTGTTAAATATTTCCAATTCCATTTTAATCTGGTTCAGCAGCAGAAGCATTGTGGGCCTGCACATGGCTGCCCCTTGTTTGATGGTCACCTCTGTGCTGGGCAGCTCCCTTAAGAGCCTAAGTTGAGAGATGATGCTTATAAATTGTGGAGACCAGCTTTGTGCAAGGGAGCTACTCACTGGGAGTTCCCCATGATACCAGTGAAGTCACAGGTCCGGCGTCTGTGGTTATAATTATTTGAGTAGAGTTACTCTACACAAATACTTACTTCAGTAGAATTTTCAGACACTCATGAATATTTGAGTTGAGCTCAGTGTAACACTGATTCCTTACATAGATATTTTAGAATTTCTGGTCACGGCCACAATGGGGTTTTTCATGTCATTCTTGGAAAGACCTATGACTCATACCCAGTTTGGTTTTCTTAGAGCAAAGAGCTAATCATTTTCCCCTCTAAACCCAGCATTTAAATAAATAGCTAATGTAAGTAGTAAGCACTTTTCCAACAGGCTCTGAGGCTTGATGAAGGTTACTGAGGCCCGCTAGTGACAGGCTGCTGTAACTACATAATTGGGAAGAATGTTCTGTGGGTGCATTAGATTGGAGGCTGCTTCTTCCCATCTTCCCCTGCAACTCACTTCAGCTGAGGGATGCTAAAGCACAGTTAGTGATATTCCAGAGTTGAGCCTTATAGTTCTGGGTCCCTCCTGCCCTTGCTCTATGGGTCCCTAATCCAGACTTCTCAGAAATAGGAAAGATTTTCTCCTGCTTTCGGCTATTAACCACACTCCTGCTTCACGTTTGTTGTTTTTATTCATCATTTGGTCTTATCTGACTCTTCATGACCCCGTAGTCCATAGCATGCCAGGCCCTTCTATCCTCCCACTATCTCTCAAAGTCTCTCCAAGTTCATGTTTGTTGTTTCCTTGACACTATCTATCCATCCCCTCTCCTTTTGCCTTTAATCTTTCCCAGCATCAAGGTCTTTTCCAATGAATCCTGTTTTATCATTTTGTGGCTTCACTTTTCCCCATCATCAAATAGCTCTCCTTCCCAAAGGTAGCCAAGCTACTCAAAGCAATTCATTATGTCATGAATAGAAATAATAAAAGTTGAGACCAGGAGTTTCTGGAATGCTATTACTCCCTTCCAGGGTTAATTAAGTGTTCATTATAAGCACTAGAAATGGTAGGATGTACCCTTTCTGTACATTTCAGGACAATGCTACAAGTTTCAGTGGCACAACCATTGTCTTTGTTTAAAAAGTTCATGTTTCTGGGATTTTTATTTTAACAGGGTTTTCTGTCTTAATTCCTAGGGCTAATTGCAATAAAGGATGCTCATGATATAGAAGCCAGACTTAATGAAGTGGAGAAACTTCTAAAAACTATTATTAGCATGCCATGCAAAGTAAGTATTATCATCTTTGCATTATGGTTGATGGGGAGGGGAGAAGGAGTGAGAGATCATGGGTGGGGACTGAAGAAGAAAGAGAAGGAAGAGGAGAAAGAAGAGGGAGAGAAGAGGAGGGGAGGAGGGGGGAGGAAGAGAGGGATTTTATCACATATTTGGGTGGGGAATGACAACAAAGCTAAACAAAAATAGTCAGATCAACTCTCAGTGTGAAATGTTCCTTGCCATCAAAGGAGTCTGAAGTTGGTCAGTTCCTTTTATATTAAATTAGTTTTTGTGGGATAGCACCTTCATTTTGGGTAATCCCTAGATGATTGAGTTCGATTGAAGTGGGTTGAATAAGAACAACCTTATCAGAGGCTAGCCTTGTTCTTTTTTAAATTCCTGGAATTATCCATAACTTCCTTATGCCCCCTAGAATTAAGGACATGGACCTAGAAGGAAATGGAGACTTAGATGAAGTGCACTTCTCCAAGGTCACACAGATAGCATGGGACAGAACCAGGATTTGAACTCGGGACCTTGATGAATTAAACCAGTTTACCACCATGGCACACAGAGCATCACTGTTGGCTAGGTTTCTTTGTTTCTTGCTAAGGAGGAGACCTGAATTCTAGTTCATCTGCCCGCCACTAACTAGGTGTGAAATTAGACAAGTGTCCTATTGATGACTCACATTCACAGAGAGGTTTCAAAATTTTCCCTTTGAGGAAGCAGCTAGGGGATACAGTAGAGAGAGGACTAGCCAGGGTCAGGAGGACCTGAGTTCAAATCCAGCCTCAGACACTTAATAGCTGTGTTGGCCCTGGGCAAATCACTTAACCTGATTGCCTCAAAAAAAAAAATAATAACAACCTTCTGAGGTACACAGTACAAATATCATTATTTCCATTTTGCAGATGAGAAAACCAAGGCTCAGAGGTAAAATGATTTGTCTGGAATCACACAGCTACAAAGTGTCAGAGCTGGGATTTGAACCCAGGCCCTATTTCTACCATTCTGTACTATATTAGCTTCTATGGGCTTTGGCTTCCTTGGCTATAAAATTAAAAAGTTAAACTTGATAATCCCTAAGGTGTCTGTTGATCCTGAGGTCTTTTTTCTATCCAAAATTCTATGAAGCTCTGAAATTTAAAAAAAAAAAACAACTGTGGGGAAATTAAAGAAAATTAAAATAAGCCCAAATTCTAAGTAATCAGTCTTTCTTTCCAGTATTCTAGGTCAGAAGTGGTGCTTACCTTCTTTGAAAGATCCCCTTTAGATCAAGTATTAAAGAATGATAACGTACATAAAATTCAACCGAGTTTTCAGAGTCCAGTCAAGATATCAGGTAAGAAAAACCACATTCTCAAAAGCATTGTTGTTTGTGAACCATTTCCGTGAGGAAAAAAGGAATTTGGGGTGATCACTTATTCAATCCACTCCCACTTAGGTCAGAGAAAAAAAATTACTGGAATAAGTGGAAAGAGTGGTACAGGTCATGTCAAAGAGATGCAATGTCTGATCTTTATTAAATAATATATACTGATTGATTTGGGACTTATTTGTACCCTGACTACTTTTAAAAGATTTGAGGCAGCTTAACAAAATTGACCATAATACAAAATGAAACACTGGGGATTGAATTGGTTCCTTTTAAAAGAAGCACAGATACTACCAAAATGACAACTCCAAATGTCTGTTCTAAATTCACCTTTAAGTTGCCCAGAAAAGAAGTCCCTAAAAGCTTATGCTAGATCACGTGGTATTAATTGTTTGTTAGCTGACAAAAGAAAGCATTTGCATATATAGAGACTAATTTGTTTGTCCCCCTAGGACTAAACAAGGAGAAATTCAGTTCTTTTTAGCTTAATTCTTGAACTGATAGGTAGATAAATGGCACTGGGAAAAATACATACTATTATGATTTGGGAGAAGCCAATCCTTTTGGTATAGAGCCTCTTAAAAAGCCTGAGGGCATAATACTGAATTGTAACTCAGTGAAGGCATTTCTGCAGAGGACTGGGTGAATATGTTCAGATACTTTGCTTTCTAATGAACTCCAGAATGGAACCTGGGAAATTTAGAACAGTGGAAAGCTTTTTCCACTGAGTTGCTTTCATGTATTAGGTATCTTAAATTTAAGAACCTCTAGAAAGATCTGGATCACAGTTGATTAATGATTGAAGTCTTTGTTGATGGTTAAAATGAAGATCACATGCTTTAGCTATCAGCTTTTTTTTTGCTATAGAAGTTTTAAGAATCAGATTGTAGTTTTGCACAGAGAGAGGACCAAGCACACTTTTGCATGCGCATGAGCATTAGGTAGATGGAGCCAAAGTTTTCCTTCCAAAAGAGCTTTGGATATTTTGAAGTACTTGGGCAAGTGATTTATTTTTTTCAGATGCCAAAGTTGAAAGGTCAAATGAGATCATATTTGCAAAAAAAAATATGACACATAATAGGTGCTTGGTTTTTTTATTTTGTTTTTCAATCATGTCCACCTCTTTGTGACTCTATTTGGGGTTTTCTTGGCAAAAATACTGAAGTGGTTTGCCGTTTCTTTCTCCAGCTCATTTTACGGTTGAGGAAACTGAGGCAAACAGGGTTAAGTGACTTGCCCAGGGTCATACAGCTAATAAGTGTGAGAAGGCCAGATTTGAACTCACAAAGATGAGTTTTCCTGTCTCCAGGCTCAGCATTCTATGCACTATGGTGTCACTTGGCTGCTTCTAATAAGTGCTTAATAAAAGCTTATTCTGTTTATCTCTCGCAACTTCATAGTATGGGAGAGGCCATTTTTGCCTGAAAAATGTTGAGGGCGGGAGTGACCAGCTGATCACATTGTCCATTAAACACTCCCCACCTCATTTAGATTCTGATAGGAGAATAGAGTTAGATCCAGAAGAGGCTTGAGAGGTCAGCTAGTGCATCCAATCCACCTTTATTTTTACAAACAGGGAAACTGAGACCCAGAAAATGAAGTGATTTGACCAATTGCGCACATATAGTAAGTTCCCAGGATTAAAAATAAGGTGCTTGGTCTCTAAATTCAACACACTTCCCACTGCGCCACACTACCCCTTACTCTCACCAGAGTGAGTTGGATGCCAAATGTACTTTCCCAAGATGCTGAATGAATTGTTCTTGGATGGAGTCATTTAAGAGTCATCAAGTCACCATTTAAATGCTGGTTAATGGCTACTAAATGCACCATTTCTTAGTTCTGATATAATTGATGCTGAGCTGCTCTAGCAATAGTAAAGTCTCCAAGTTCATCCACCATTCCATGACTCTCAGTCAAAGATGATCAGATCCTGTATCAGCACCAAGAAGGCTTGGCTTCCTTTTTGCATAAATCCAATTTATTTAATGGTGTTAAGGAGTTAAGATAAATGATATTGTTTCTGTTGCAGGCCATACTATTAAAATAGTATCTCTTTGTAGTAAATTATACAGTGAAAAAAGACATTGAGTATTGACCTATATTGGCATCAGGATGAGAAATTATAAAGAAAGGGGAGCTAGGACATAACCTTTTGAGACTGCAGTTCCTCCATAATGGTTTTACTCTAATGTCTTATTGGGGTGTGGCACTTATGTTGGGTTCTTGAAGGCTATGGCATTGAAGCCCGACCTGGCAATTTCTCCCAGACTGGAAAGTTTTTGACTATGGGCCTGATGATAAAATTGTGTCTGTTGCATGAAGACTAGTCTAGACAAGTGTGGAGAGGCTCTTCACCAGAAGGCTGGACTTCAAGTGTTAAAGGTCTCCCACTGCATCTGGGGCCATCTCCAGTCATCCTTATCTCTGTCTTGCCACTGGACCCAGATGGCTCTGGAGGAGAGAGTGAGGCTGGTGACTTTGCATAGCCTTCCCTCACTTAAATCCAATTCACTTGCAAATCAAGATATCACCTTCCTGATGTCAAGGTACTCTTCAAGAATGAAGGCCTTCAAGTGATGAACTTTTTTGGGCCCCAGTCATCCATGCAAAGGACAAAAATAAAAAATGGCCCTCAGTCATCTGTATACCTGACCCTGACAGCAATGAATGTAGGAGAAAAGGATATAAAGGATGCTACAAATCACACAGTTCTTAGTCTTTGAACATTAATTTAACTCTTGGCATTCTAAATGGGCAATCTTTGCTTACTAATTGGTTATCAATGAATTAATTATGCTACCAGAATAATAGAACTACAATACTGCAATGCCATTATATCAAAGACATTTCATTTAAGTGGAAACATGGTTCCCAGGCTCTTCTCTAAGAGGCAAACATAGTAGATGGTGGAAATAATTTCATCGTACCCTCAAGGCAACAAGAAATTTCATTTCAGAAACAGACAATTCTCTTTGTGCTCACAATGATTTAATTTTTTATCTTTCATTATATAAAATTAGCTATTTATGAATTGATGTTCAAATCAGGCCTCAAACTGATAACAATACTGCACTACCAATTCACATTAATAACAGGTAAATTAAAAATAATTAATTTACAAAAAATATGATTTTAAATAAAATGAAATTAATTTTTGAAAATTATTTGTAGATTTATAAAATAACCTGGATTTGTTTGGTTTCAACTGATTCCCTTTTGTGGTATTATCTTAATAACTTTGCCAGATTCTTTCTTTCCCTTCCTTTCCTTTCCCTTGCTTTTCCTCTTTCTTTTTCTTTCTTTCTTTCTTTCTTTCTTTCTTTCTTTCTTTCTTTCTTT